CCTTGTGACTGGGTCATTACATGATTTGTAAATTCAGAATATGCTAATTAAAAAAGCATTAAATGGAAGATACCTTATACTGGAATTTAATTGTTTAAACCTACGGGTTCGTAAGTTGATTCAGACTTTTAATAAAGTAAAGTATAAGCAGATTGCAAAGTAAGTCAACCTTCTCTAAATGTGTAGAACTGACAAGACATTTTTCTTTCATTTATTGTGGGCAATATTATAAAATCACTTAATTTTTGAAATAGCATGATTGTAAATCACGCATGACATTTCAGTCTTTCTTTGTATGGTCATCATCCATTGGCTATTCAAATTTTAATCAGTAAAACTTCCGTTGTTATTGACTCATCATAATTTGAGCTACGTGTATTAATTTTAAATATACATCTTATAAATCAGTATTTACAATGGTTACTGCTTTGATTTGTTCTGAACAAACACTAATTATGGATCTTTGTTGGGGAGAGACCGTTTAAATTTCTAAAGAGGGAGGAGAAGGATGCTAAAAAACGATTGTCTTATTCTGATTTGTGGAATAAAATTGGACACTGCCATTTATTTCTTTACTTGAAACAACTTATCGTCTGATGAATAAAAAAAAGTTCCGCAGTCAGAAATAATAATTTAGCTCCTTACAATTAAATTACCCATACAGTACATGTGCATTCAAAATTGAACGAGTTGGTTCTTGTTTACATGTATAATTAATTTCATACCGGACATTACTGCTTAAATACTAAACACGTTATTTAGATTTAAGTGTAAATTCGGGATTTTGATTTAAACAAAACAGCATTTGTGTTGATTGTATTTTTATACAAGCTGTTGCTATCTAGCATTTTCTTTTCCATAACTCAGAGTATTACGTTTCATACTTAAGCAGTATGATAAATTTACACTGTTCAAAAGAAGCTCAACAAGGTGGGCTTTTAGTCAAGTCAGTAACTTTTCTAAGCAGGACTTTTCACATTAATTTATTTTGTCCACATATTTGATCAAAATAAAGATCACTGGCGAAATGGTACCTGTTTGTAAATCCCTCATGACAAGTCAGTCTTTCCATGGGTGAGGTGATCCTAACTGATTTTCTGTTCAAATGTCAATCAATAACACTGAGCACCTGCTATACAGTGGAGATGTCCTAGGCATGCCAGCCAAAGCTGTGTGGTGATTTGTTAGTATCTTAAAAAGTGGAGGGATTAAGTCTTCTACGGCGTCTTGTTGGGTTCCAAAAATATATGCGTACTGTTCTGCACATAAAGAGTCAGAACAGCAAACCACAATTAACAATAGTTCAATACCAATTGGAGTGCCACAAAACAGTTTCCTTAACACAATGCAACTAACATTGGATTGCTGACAACTGGTATTACTGCCAGGTTGTGGATGTAACATAATTATGGTCAGGATAAAAATATGACCATTAGATTGTATCACCGATATTAATTATCAGCACTGTTTGCAAATGATTACTTAAAATGATCCACCGGTGGCATAAAGTTGCAAAAGCTTTTCAAAATTCCTAACAGTATATGGAAAAGCAATGTATTGTGTATAGCCAAGTATTTGCTGCTTACCTGTATTACTCTTCATGGAAATAAATGATTTTTTCATTTGATCCAACTTTGATTTTACATCAGTTTCATTGGCCATATTACCAAAAAAAGTCTTTGAACTGCCAAACTATGCTATGTGTAAGAAGAAATACAAATAATTAGTGTATCACATGATAAAATCTTTTATTCTGATTGGCTTACTAACATGATCTAATTTTAGGATTTAACGCATTTCCCCATGGCTGAGATATTTGACTTCATTACTAAAATCATTGTAACCATAGTTACTGATACATGCTAATATGAAATGATGACACAAGGTCATATGATGAGGTTTGACATGTCTACACTTCTTATTGCGTTTGGGTATCGCTATATAGGAGATAATCGATCATGATGTTATTCCCAGGCCGAGTAAATAATATTACAAAATATGAAATTACTGATGGAGCGACATACGTCTGAGCAGAGATAAAGAATAGAACAACATTAGCACACATGCGAAATGTACACTTTTATGAATTACATAAGCAAAATGAAATTGAACACGACATTTGATTGTCACTTTCATTTAGAAACAAAGTTACAATTTGCCATACCGTTTACTGATATAAATATTTCATCATATAATCGAGTTACTGATCAAACTCAAATTTCTTGCTTGTTGGCATCACCTAGTTGCTTCCGGTCTTCCCAAATCACTGCTGGCGAAAGGATGGCATAGCCGTATTTCTTTGCTTTTAGCCGAGTTCATCTAACCATTTTGAGTCATCAATCCCTTGGTTACATGCTGTCCTCTTTTTTCATTGTGTCATATAGTTATGGAGTTTTTTTCTACAAATAAAAATATAATACCCTACCTAAACACGAATCAGTTTTTTTTTTGTCTCCTGGATCACACAATGTTCCCAATATTTATATGTCAGTTCGCAAACAATTATCAATCCTATTACTATAAATTAATGTCTTTAGAGCTGAGAATCAAATTTCTCTGAAACATGACATAATTAGACCTCTTGATAAATATTACTGTACATATATAGGCTGTAAATCACTTACTGACAATGTCGGTTAATAGGCGCCTCTAATATCAACACCATCGGTTCTTGGTTGAAAATATTTTACTGCTTAATTACTAAGCTAATTAATAGATTTCACTCTTTAACCATAATAGTTACTTTTCTAATAAGTAATTCATTGACATGGATATATTAACATCAATTCATATTTCATCATTTAAGACAAATAATTTACTTTTCACAATTTATATCAGAAGAAATGTTTGAAATTCGTACAATACATGATATTTGTTACATACAACACCACTAAATCCGAACTCATTCATACCAACTAAATGTTGTATGACATTTTTACAACATTGTATTCATATAACATTTCAGAACACTAATGCACAATTATTTTCTGAACTCAGTAAAGAAAAAGTAATTATCAAGTTAAAAGGAATAAATTCAACAAGAATTACAAATTTATATCAATAAGCATGCTATATGCAGTTTAGGTAATACCTTTGTGTCTTCTTTAGCACTTGCCTACTTATTATCATTTTCCACTTCTTGACCTCATGTTAACATTGCTTTATACGTCTCTAACCGTTAACCTAGTATGTCTTAATTAAAATCCACTCACGATTGCAATCAAAAGAGCTTAACCGTCACTAGCTACTAAATGTTTGGTGATGCTAGCCCATACATTATACTTAATATACGCTGACCATAACATAATGTACTACAAAATCATACCCACAAAATTTTGCACCATTACATATAATGCCACAAGAAATTGAATGACATAATAAGTCAGTTATAGCCTTCACCATATATAATGCCACAAGACATTGAATGACCTAATAAGTCAGTTATAGCCTTCACCATATATAATGCCACAAGAAATTGAATGACATACTAAATCAGTTATAGCCTTCACCATATATAATGCCACAAGAAATTGAATGACATACTAAATCAGTTATAGCCTTCACCATATATAATGCCACAAGAAATTGAATGACCTACTAAATCATTTATAGCCTTCACCATATATAATGCCACAAGACATTGAATGACATAATAAGTCAGTTATAGCCTTCACCATATATAATGCCACAAGACATTGAATGACATACTAAATCAGTTATAGCCTTCACCATATATAATGCCACAAGACATTGAATGACATACTAAATCAGTTATAGCCTTCACCATATATAATGCCACAAGAAATTGAATGACATAATAAGTCAGTTATAGCCTTCACCATTAGCTAATACTAACCTCAAGAAATTGAATGACATACTAAATCAGTTATAGCCTTCACCATTAGCAGCAGTACTCAAAGTATTTTTTTTAGTAGTATCAAAATATGCAATGTTTATAGTTGATTCAAGTCAGAAAATGACGAACACCATCGTATTTTTAACTGTATCACACACATTACACTGTTATGCATGTTGTTGTTGTTGTTATTGTTGTTGTTGTTGTTGTAGGATTTAACGCCATTTTTCACCACAAGATAGCCATACATGGTAGCTAGTATAACCGGTCGAAAAAGAACCCTGGAAAATATGGGAATAACCACCGACCCATAAGAAGCTACTGGCATGCTTTCTCACGTGCCACGTAAACCGAGCCCGTGACTCAAACCTACGCTGACTGAGGTGAGACGGCAGTGATTTGCGACGGTAAGCACTTTATACAACTCGGCTATTTGGGGCCCCGGTTATGCCTGTGACATTTGCTATATGTTCACACAGAACTAGACTTCATATCTTTACAAATGGCATAATCTTAACGTGTAAAGGAAAGGTTTAATCAATAATTGCTATTTCATCTTTATCAATTCTTATGCAATAATACGTACCTATACTATGTGTTTAATACGTTATTTCATAATCAAATGTTTATACTTCAGGTTGCCCACACAATGCTATATTTACACACAATTACACATTGTATCATGCCAATAGACAAGAGATATATATATCGAACTCGTAGATGAGAATGTTTTAATCCCCTGCCGAAATTCGAACCAAGCATTTGCTTGTTTTGGCACCAATCGCACTCACAGCGCATTCCAGCCCTCTGCCTTCTCGACTAACCGCTCCGGTGGCATAAGTGGTGACAGCGTCCGACTCGTATTAAAGAGGTCGGTGGTTCTGCGTGTGAGTGATGTGTGTGTTTGCGTGATTTATATATTTAACGTAGCCTTAACAATTTTTAAGTCGTATCGCTACAATGTATGCAGTGTGACAGTTTGTAGTGATGTCTAGCACAGGGGCATCTTGCCGCAGACATGTGGCATGATGTACCAGTCACATTATCATGACACCAGGTCAACCAGTCCTATCCTATTACTAACCTGGTAATGCTGAGCGCCAAGCGGGGCAGCCGTTAGTACCAATTTATAAAGTCTTTGGTATGACAAAGCCGGGTTTCGAACCCAGAACCTCCAGCAACCGAGAATGACGCTTTATCAATTGGGCCACCTGAGCTGTTGTTGGTTCTGCACCGATGAATTCAAACCAAAGACTTATAAAATGGTCCTAGCAGCTGCTTCGCGTGAAGCTCAGCATTAAGAACTTAATGTGTTAGGAATGGGCTGCCTGATGTTAGCATAATGTGAGCGGATGGGAAATGATGCTACATGTCTAATCAATTTTCCTTTTTACTCTGATCTTGATGTTTGATTGCCATATCAAAAATAATATTTTACGTCGTCTTATTTTATTTGGTCGATAAAAGTGTACAGACGCTTGACATTTTGCCGAGTTCCACAAGCCATAATTCATATATAAACTACATGCATTCTACTACAACATAATATTTGTCAAATTTTACTTGTTTAAAATGATATCTTCTTTGAATCACGTCACGAAGGTCCAAATGTCCTTAATTATTAATTTGTATCAGTACAGGAGCCTGCTAGATGTTTTAATTATTAATACTTTACTTTCACGGATATATTTTATACATATGCTGACAGGTAATAACCTGTACAATCAACACAAATATACTTTAATTCTCATTGCTTGCGAATGTTTAACCACTTCTATTCTACATATATGTTATAAATAATTAAACTACAACCACGATGATTCAGTTAAATATGCATCTGTGCTCGTAGCCTTAATATTCAAAACGTAATTGTTTGCATACGGTGGACAAAACAGTGCATTTCGACATATTATGAGTCAATACTTACTGGGTTGACAACCAGATATCCCAGTCTTTGACGTGAAATGCTACATCGTTCTTACGTATGGTACAGAAACGCAATTAATATTTAACAAATAATAGAATCTTCATGGTTTCAATAAAAAGGCTGCCATAAAAAATTGAATTTAAAAATTATCTTTATGTTTCATCATGATGTCTTCTTTTGCGTAAAATAAGATAAAATCGAAAATATTTCAATATCGAATGCAGAACCTGATTTTAGGTCTTGTATTCCAAAACTGTATTTGTAGAAAAGAAAGTGAAGTGTTTCTAATGTCTCAAAGACTTCTCAACTCGACTGACCTTTTTGTTTTGACAACCTGATACCACAGTCTCTGTTGCAAACTGCTAAGTCGTTGTTACCAATTGTAATAAATTTAGAGTACGCGCATTGTGTTATAATGCCCATTTTTAAGAATTCTTAGATTTGTGTGATTACTTGTTTGATTATTGGAACTCGGTGCAGTGGAAACATTCTTTAGCCCGAAATAATTAGCCAATTGCGAGGAGGAAACGTCACGGCATGAAGTGTTGAATTCAGGTCACATCGACAGAAGAGTCACTGTCGTATCGTGTTCCCTATTTACATCTAGTTGTGTTCATTGGTGACGGGACTGCAGTGGCAGTATTTACGGTAGGAAACCGGTAAATTACACAATAGGATAAATGAGAAGGGAATCAGGAGATAGCATTTATGTCACCATGATGACAAATATGATGCTGATGTATTGGCGGAATTTGCCTTAAAAACCATGAATTGACTAATCCAAGGTGGCGTACTTAAATTAGTTTCTGTGTTCAGGAATAGTTGTATAGTTTCTACTGCTGATGGTACGGAAACTTGATGAAGAGAAACCATGTAGACGTGCAATTGATAGATATTTGGCAAGTTGTGAGATCTGTGGCCATAAATTGATTAGAATAAAACATTATGCATATAACGGACACGTCAGGGTTTCTAATTTACAACTGAGGATGGATAGAGATCTTTGAACATTTGGGCAAGCATATGACCTCTATCGGAATCGCGCCAAGATTAGACAACTCTCAGTTAAGCAAATACACCTGGCTTGTAACACTATTATATTGAGACGCAATGAGTACTTATCACATATTATAGTTATCATTCTATGATTCGTTTTGGTAATAGTGTATTTTAATAAACATCGAAGTCATGTGCCTTCAGTACATCCATGAAAATAAAGACATTTTATGCTCAGGAAAAATAAAACAAAACTACATTAACTCACGATACTTCCTGCTTGCAAGTCAAGCAGTATAATCCCTGATTATGCCATACCAATGTGTGTGAAAGTCAAACTTGTATATTCTTTTAATATTGTCAGTCAAGTTAGTGGTTTATTACATCAGTTATGAAAGTCGTAACAACATGGTTTGTATGAATCAACATATAACGTCACACAGTTCAGAGTCCGTCACCTCATCAATGACAAGACAGTGAAATAACATACAATATAGGTCCCAAACGTAGAGGAGGAGACTCGCAAAATGGTTATTCCGTTTTCAGTAATCAGTTAAAAAATCTACTAATGCAGTGGTGTAGTGGATACTTATTTCGTATTTAGTTCATGGAAGCTGCAAAACGCCATTGGTTGTGATTTCCCAAATTTACTTTGCACGCATTTGTTTTTTGAGACACCTTCCTAATCAGAGGAAGATGTGTATATACTTGTATAATCAGAGGAAGATGTGTATATACTTGTATAATCAGAGAAAGATGTGTATATACTTGTATAATCGGAGGAAGATGTGTATATACTTGTATAATCGGAGGAAGATGTGTATATACTTGTATAATCAGAGGAAGATGTGTATATACTTGTATAATCGGAGGAAGATGTGTATATACTTGTATAATCAGAGAAAGATGTGTATATACTTGTATAATCAGAGGAAGATGTGTATATACTTGTATAATCAGAGAAAGATGTGTATATACTTGTATAATCAGAGGAAGATGTGTATATACTTGTATAATCGGAGGAAGATGTGTATATACTTGTATAATCAGAGAAAGATGTGTATATACTTGTATAATCAGAGGAAGATGTGTATATACTTGTATAATCAGAGAAAGATGTGTATATACTTGTATAATCGGAGGAAGATGTGTATATACTTGTATAATCGGAGGAAGATGTGTATATACTTGTATAATCAGAGGAAGATGTGTATATACTTGTATAATCAGAGGAAGATGTGTATATACTTGTATAATCAGAGGAAGATGTGTATATACTTGTATAATCAGAGAAAGATGTGTATATACTTGTATAATCAGAGGAAGATGTGTATATACTTGTATAAACGGAGAAATATGTGTATATACTTGCATAATCGGAGGAAGATGTGTATATACTTGTATAATCAGAGGAAGATGTGTATATACTTGTATAATCAGAGGAAGATGTGTATATACTTGTATAATCGGAGGAAGATGTGTATATACTTGTATAATCGGAGGAAGATGTGTATATACTTGTATAATCGGAGGAAGATGTGTATATACTTGTATAATCAGAGGAAGATGTGTATATACTTGTATAATCAGAGGAAGATGTGTATATACTTGTATAATCAGAGAAAGATGTGTATATACTTGTATAATCAGAGGAAGATGTGTATATACTTGTATAATCAGAGAAAGATGTGTATATACTTGTATAATCAGAGGAAGATGTGTATATATTTGTGTAATCAGAGGAAGATGTGTATATACTTGTATAATCAGAGAAAGATGTGTATATACTTGTATAATCGGAGGAAGATGTGTATATACTTGTATAATCGGAGGAAGATGTGTATATACTTGTATAATTGGAGGAAGATGTGTATATACTTGTATAATCAGAGGAAGATATGTATATACTTGTATAATCAGAGGAAGATGTGTATATACTTGTATAATCAGAGGAAGATGTGTATATACTTGTATAATCAGAGGAAGATGTGTATATACTTGTATAATCAGAGGAAGATGTGTATATACTTGTATAATCAGAGAAAGATGTGTATATACTTGTATAATCAGAGGAAGATGTGTATATACTTGTATAATCAGAGGAAGATGTGTATATACTTGTATAAACGGAGAAATATGTGTATATACTTGTATAATCAGAGGAAGATGTGTATATACTTGTATAATCGGAGTAAGATGTGTATATACTTGTATAATCAGAGACATATGTGTATATACTTGTATATTCAGAGAAAGATGTGTATATACTTGTATAATCGGAGGAAGATGTGTATATACTTGTATAATCAGAGGAAGATGTGTATATACTTGTATAATCGGAGGAAGATGTGTATATACTTGTATAATTGGAGGAAGATGTGTATATACTTGTATAATCGGAGGAAGATGTGTATATACTTGTATAATCAGAGGAAGAGATGTATATATTTGTATAATCAGAGGAAGATGTGTATATACTTGTATAATCAGAGGAACATGTGTATATACTTGTATAATCAGAGAAAGATGTGTATATACTTGTATAATCAGAGGAAGATGTGTATATACTTGTATAATCAGAGGAAGATGTGTATATACTTGTATAATCAGAGAAAGATGTGTATATACTTGTATAATCGGAGGAAGATGTGTATATACTTGTATAATCGGAGGAAGATGTGTATATACTTGTATAATCAGAGGAAGATGTGTATATACTTGTATAATCAGAGGAAGATGTGTATATATTTGTGTAATCAGAGGAAGATGTGTATATACTTGTATAATCAGAGAAAGATGTGTATATACTTGTATAATCAGAGGAAGATGTGTATATACTTGTATAAACGGAGAAATATGTGTATATACTTGCATAATCGGAGGAAGATGTGTATATACTTGTATAATCAGAGGAAGATGTGTATATACTTGTATAATCAGAGGAAGATGTGTATATACTTGTATAATCGGAGGAAGATGTGTATATACTTGTATAATCGGAGGAAGATGTGTATATACTTGTATAATCGGAGGAAGATGTGTATATACTTGTATAATCAGAGGAAGATGTGATTGATACGCTTTTCCAGGAAATAAAATGTCCTATTCATCGTCATATCTTCGAAGTAGATTCATCAGTGTTGCATTAAGAAGCATGACAAAGAACCATAGGAATTTTGCGATCTCAAGGAAAGATACAGAGTCATTGCGTATAATTTGAATTCTCTTTTTCTGAATGTCTGAAGACACTGGAATTTACATTCAACACTTCTGTGTTAATGCTGATTGTGCGTGCCAA